TGAAAAGACCTAACCTACGTTTGATAGGTGTACCAGAATGTGACGAAGAGAATGAATCCCAGCTGGAAAATACTCTTCAGGACATCATCCAGGAAAATTTCCCCCACCTAGCAAGACAAGCCAACACTCAATTGCAGGAAATACAGAGAACACCACAAAGATATTCCGCAAGAAGAGCAACCCCAAGGCACATAATCGTCAGATTCAACAGGGTTGAAATAAAGGAGAGAATACTAAGGGCAGCCAGAGAGAAAGGTCGGGTCACCCACAAAGGGAAGCCCATCAGACTCACAGCAGATCTCTCGGCAGAAACACTACAAGCCAGAAGAGAGTGAAGGCCAATATTCAACATTCTTAAAGAAAAGAACTTTCAACCTAGAATTTCATATCCAGCCAAACTGAGCTTCAGAAGTGAAGGAAGAATAAAATCCTTTGCGAACAAGCAAGCACTCAGAGATTTTGTCACCACCAGGCCTGCTTTACAAGAGCTCCTAAAAGAGGCACTACACATAGAAAGGATCAATCAGTACCAGCCATTCCAAAATCACACTGAATGCTAAAGAGCTTCAACATAATGAAGAATCTACAACAACTAACAGGCAAAACAGCCACTTAGCATCAAAATGGCAGTATCAAATTCACACATAACAATATTAACCCTAAATGTAAATGGACTAAATGCACCAATCAAAAGACACAGACTGGCAAATTGGATAAAAATCCAAAACCCATCAGTGTGCTGTATCCAGGAAACCCATCTCACATGCAAGGATACACAAAGGCTCAAAATAAAGGGATGGAGGAAGATTTACCAAGCAAATGGAGAGCAAAAAAAAGCAGGAGTTGCAATTCTCATCTCTGATAAAATAGACTTTAAAGCAACAAAGATCAAAAGAGACAAAGAAGGCCATTACATAATGGTAAAAGGATCGATACAACAAGAAGAGCTAACGATCCTAAACATATATGGACCCAACACAGGAGCACCCAGATACATAAGGCAAGTTCTTAATGACTTACAGAAGGACTTAGACTCCCACACAATAATAGTGGGAGACTTTAACACTCCACTGTCAATACTAGACAGATCAACCAGACAGAAAATCAACAAGGATACCCAGGGCTTGAACTCAGACCTGGAGCAAGCAAACCTGGTGGACATTTACAGAACTCTCCACCCCAAATCCACAGAATACACATTCTTCTCAGCACCACATCACACCTACTCTAAAATTGACCGCATAATTGGAAGTAAAGCACTGCTCAACAAATGCAAAACAACTGAAATCATAACAAACAGCCTCTCAGACCATAGTGCAATCAAGTTAGAACTCAGAATTCAGAAACCCACCCAGAACCGCACAGCTTCATGGAAACTGAACAACTGGCTCTTGAATGTTGACTGGGTAAACAACGAAATGAAGGCAGAAATAAAGAAGTTCTTCGAAACCAATGAGAATGAAGACACAACGTGCCAGAACCTCTGGGACACATTTAAAGCAGTCTCTAGAGGAAAGTATATAGCAATAAGTGCCCATATGAGAGGAATGGAGAGATCCAAAATTGACACCCTATCGTCAAAATTGAAAGAGCTAGAGGAGCAAGATCAAAAAAACTCAAAACCCAGCAGAAGACAAGAAATTACTAAGATCAGAGCTGAGCTGAAGGAGATTGAGACACGAAAAACCCTTCAAAAAATCAATAAATCCAAGAGCTGGTTTTTTGAAAAGATCAACAAAATAGACAGACCACTAGCCAGATTGATTAAAAAGAAAAGAGAGAACAACCAAATAGATGCAATAAAAAATGATAAAGGGGAAATCACCACAGATTCCACAGAAATTCAAACCATCATCAGAGAATATTACAAACAACTCTATGCACATAAACTAGTAAACCTGGAAGAAATGGATAAATTCCTGGACTCCTGTGTCCTCCCAAGCCTAAACCAGGAGGAAGCTGAAACTATGAATAGACCAATAACAATGTCTGAAGTTGAGGCAGCAATTAAGAGCCTACCTCACAAAAAAAGCCCAGGTCCAGATGGGTTCACAGCCGAATTCTACCAGACACACAAGGAGGAGCTGGTACCATTCCTTCTAAAACTATTTCAAACAATCCAAAAAGAGGGAATCCTTCCCAAATCATTTTATGAGACCAACATCATCCTGATACCAAAACCCGGCAGAGACCCAACGAGAAAAGAAAACTTCAGGCCAATATCCATGATGAACATAGATGCAAAAATCTTCAATAAAATATTGGCAAGCCGATTGCAACAGCAAATCAAAAAACTTATTCATCATGATCAAGTAGGATTCATCCCAGGGATGCAAGGCTGGTTCAACATACGCAAGTCTATCAACGTAATTCACCACATAAACAGAACCAAAAACAAAAACCACATGATTATCTCAATTGACGCAGAGAAGGCATTTGACAAAATTCAACAGCCCTTTATGCTAAAAACCCTCAATAAACTCGGTATCGATGGAACGTATCTCAAAGTAATAAAAGCTATTTATGACAAACCAACAGCCAATATCATACTGAATGGGCAAAAACTGGAAGCATTCCCTTTGAAATCTGGTACTAGACAAGGATGCCCTCTCTCACCACTCCTATTCAATATAGTACTGGAAGTTCTAGCCAGAGCAATCAGGCAAGAAAAAGAAATAAAGGGTATTCAAATAGGAAAGGTGGAAGCCAAATTGTCTCTATTTGCAGACGACATGATAGTATACCTAGAAGACCCCATCGCCTCAGCCCAAAAACTCCTGAAACTGATAAACAACTTCAGCAAAGTCTCAGGATATAAAATCAATGTGCAAAAATCACAAGCATTCGTCTACACCAATAACAGACTTAAAGAAAGCCAAATCAAGAGCGAACTGCCATTCACAATTGCTACAAAAAGAATAAAATACCTTGGAATACAACTCACAAGGAATGTAAGGGACCTCTTCAAGGAGAACTACAAACCACTGCTCAACGAAATCAGAGAGGACACAAACAGATGGAGAAACATTCCATGTTCATGGTTAGGAAGAATTAATATCGTGAAAATGGCTATACTGCCCAAAGTAATTTACAGAATCAACGCTATCCCCATCAAGCTACCATTGACTTTCTTCACAGAACTGGAAAAAACCACCATGAACTTCATATGGAACCAAAAGAGAGCCCGCATAGCCAAGTCAATTCTAAGCAAAAAGAACACAGCGGGGGGCATCACACTACCGGATTTCAAACTATACTACAAGGCTACAGTAATGAAAACAGCATGGTACTGGTACCAAAACAGAGATATAGACCAATGGAACAAAACAGAGGCACCGGAGGCAACACAACATACATACAACTATACAATCTTTGATAAACCTGACAAAAACAAGCAATGGGGCAAGGATTCCATGTTTAACAAATGGTGTTGGGAAAACTGGCTAGCCATGTGCAGAAAACAGAAACTGGACCCCTTCCTGACACCTTACACTAAAATTAACTCCAGATGGATTAAAGACTTAAACATAAGACCTGGCACCATAAAAACCCTAGAAGGAAATCTAGGCAAAACTATCCAGGACATAGGAGTAGGCAAGGACTTCATGAACAAAACACCAAGAGCATTGGCAACAAAAGCCAAAATAGACAAATGGGACCTAATCAAACTCCACAGCTTCTGCACGGCAAAAGAAACAGTCACTAGAGTGGATCGGCAACCAACAGAATGGGAAAAAATTTTCGCAGTCTACCCATCTGACAAAGGGCTGATATCCAGAATTTACAAACAACTCAAGCAGATTTACAGGAAAAAAACAAACAAGCCCATTCAAAAGTGGGCAAAGGATATGAACAGATACTTTACGAAAGAAGACATATATGAGGCCAACAATCATATGAAAAAATGCTCATCGTCACTGGTCATCAGAGAGATGCAAATCAAAACCACATTGAGATACCATCTCACGCCAGTTAGAATGGCGATCATTAAAAAATCTGGAGACAACAGATGCTGGAGAGGATGTGGAGAAAAAGGAACACTTTTACACTGTTGGTGGGAGTGTAAATTAGTTCAACCATTGTGGAAGACAGTGTGGCGATTCCTCAAGGCCTTAGAAATAGAAATTCCATTTGACCCAGCAATCCCATTACTGGGTATATATCCAAAAGACTATAAATCGTTCTACTATAAGGACACATGTACACGAATGTTCATTGCAGCACTGTTTACAATAGCAAAGACCTGGAATCAACCCAAATGCCCATTGATAATAGACTGGATTGGAAAAATGTGGCACATATACACCATGGAATATTATGCAGCAATCAGAAATGATGAGTTCGTGTCGTTTGTAGGGACATGGATGAATCTGGAAAACATCATCCTCAGCAAACTGACACAAGAACAGAAAATGAAACACCGCATATTCTCACTCATAGGTGGGTGATGAAAAATGAGAACACATGGACACAGAAAGGGGAGTACTAAACACTGGGGTCTATTGGGGGGAAAAGGGGAGGGCCAGTGGGAGGGGGAGGTGGGGAGGGATAGCCTGGGGAGAAATGCCAAATGTGGGTGAAGGGGAGAAGAAAAGCAAAGCACACTGCCATGTATGTACCTACGCAACTGTCTTGCATGCTCTGCTCATGTACCCCAAAACCTATAATCCAATAAAAAATTTAAAAAAAAATAAAATTAAAAAAAAAAAAAAAAAAAAAACAAAGAAACTGTGACAGAACTATGGCCATGCAAGGAAGAGACAGGGAGGTAAATACCCCAGCTTCTCTCTGCTCAAAATCTTTTATTTCTTGCCCTGTCTCCATGGCCCATCTCAACTGGCAGCAAGAATATCACTTATGCAATACTCCAGGATACACTGAGCATAACTATTTGGTTGGTGCAAAAGTAATTGCAGTTTTTGCCATTGAAAGTAATGGCAAAATCACAATTGCTTTTGCACCAACGTAATAAATATATGAATGAATAAATGGCTTTTCCTCCTTACCATAATGATTTTTCATCCCAAGAATTCCTTGACACTTTCTTGCAAATTTGCTGAAATAATTGAATTTTCATTCCACTCCTTCCGAAAATAGTTCCTGAATTCCACCTACTTCCTCTGCCATTTTTCTTCAATAGTCTCTTAAATAGTTTGGCCCAACTCTTGGCAGGTAGAAATTGAGGTGTGGATATTAATGTGGAGAAACGTGGTAAAAGTGGAGAAAAGAAAAAGAACTAGTCTTGATCCTTCCAGTTTTTAACTCCAGCCCTGATTACACTAGATTCATGGCTTGGAGTGTAACCTAATTTATCTTCAGTCTGATTCTTCCTTCTATCCTTGTAACTCTCCACAGAGAAATACCGTTAGCTCAATGACCTGGGAAAACCACTCAGTGTTGCTGGAATTTGTGTTCCTCGCCTATCCCTCCTGCCTAGAACTGCGTATTCTGTCCTTCCTTGGGGTCAGCGTGGTTTACGGATTGATCATCACTGGGAACATCCTCATTGTGGTGTCCATTCACACAGAAGCCTGTCTAGGCACACCCATGTACTATTTCCTGGGCAGCCTTTCTGGGATTGAAATATGCTACACCGCAGTGGTGGTGCCCCATATCCTGGCCAACACCCTACAGTCAGAGAAGACCATCACCCTTCTGGGCTGTGCCACCCAGATGGTTTTCTTCATTGCACTGGGCATTGCTGATTGCTTCCTCTTGGCTGCCATGGCCTATGACCGCTATGTGGCCATTTGCCACCCCTTGCAGTACCCTCTCCTCATGACATTGACTCTTTGTGTCCGCTTGGTTGTGGCATCAGTCATCAGTGGTCTGTTCCTGTCCTTACAACTGGTGGCTTTCATCTTCTCTCTGCCATTCTGCCGGGCTCGGGGCATTGAGCACTTCTTTTGTGATGTGCCACCAGTCATGCATCTTGTTTGTGCTCACAGTCATGTTCATGAGCAGTCAGTTCTGGTGGCAGCCACACTAGCCATTGCTGTGCCTTTCTTCCTCATCACCACATCCTACACCTTCATAGTGGCTGCTGTGCTCAAGATCCACTCGGCTGCTGGCCGCCACCGGGCCTTCTCCACCTGTTCCTCTCATCTCACTGTGGTGCTGCTGCAGTATGGCTGCTGTGCCTTCATGTACCTGCGCCCCAGCTCCAGCTACCACCCCAAGCAAGATCAGTTCATCTCACTGGTGTACACATTGGGAACCCCACTGCTCAACCCACTCATCTATGCCCTGAGGAACAATGAGATGAAAGTGGCCATAAGGAGAGTTTTTACCAGGAACTGCCTTTCTCAGAACAGCTAGGATAGATGAGAGGACAATCTATCAGGCAAGTATTTGGTTCCAGCCCATCAAATCTCTATGAAAATGGGACTTCTATCATTTGATGTTAAAACTCACCTAAAAGATGGTATAAATATATGGATACTGTTTATTTATTTGTACCAATGATTTTTAAATGTTTCTATAATTTGACTCAGTAATTTCTCTTCTCAGAAAGAACTACATGAACAAATGGGCATAAGGTGATCTAAAGTGGCAAGTATAATACTTTGTTTACCAGCTGGGAAGAGATAGCTCATTCAGTAGTTTCTAACTAAAAAATATTTTTAAAGGATTATCTGCAGTGGTTATGGGTAAGGAAACCAAGAAAGGGTGGCAGGACACTAACATTCTAGCAATAACAGAAAGATTTCTCAGCCCTAGACCTAAAAGGCATGCAATAAAAGAAGGGTGCAATATTAACAGAGTCCAGTGACAGCTAGATCTAAGGAGATAAACAACTTGGTAGAAACTGTGGCATCAGAAATAACAGAAACTATGACAGAACTATGGCCATGCAAGGAAGAGACAGGGAAGTTAATACCCCAGCATCTCTCTGCTCAAAATCTTCCATTTCTTGTCCTGTCTCCATGGGCCAAACTCAACTGGCAGCAAAAGGGGAGGATAGACTGGGTGAATCAATCCACTGAAGTCAGTCTCCTAGGACATAGGGAAAGGCAGACAAAAACCTTGAGAATGAGGGCCAAACAGAGAACAGTCAGAGCAATAGTTGTTTATTATAGTATCATACATAAAAACGAAAATAGTGGCTCACACCTGTAATCCCAGCACTTTGGAAGGCCGAGGCAGGCCGATCACAAGGTCAGGAGTTCAAGACCAGCCTGACCAACACGGTAAAACCTCATCTCTACTAAAAACACAAAAATTAGCCGGGCATGGTGGCATGCGCCTGTAATCCCAGCTACTCAGGAGACTGAGGCAGGAGAATAGCTTGAACCTGGAAGGTGGGTGAATAGCTTGAACCCCGGAGGTGGAGGTTGTGGTGAGTCGAGATCACACCACTGTACCCGAGCCTGGGTGACAGAGAGGCTGGGTGTGGTGGCTCACACCTGTAATTCCAGCACTTTGGAAGGCTGAAATGGGCAGATCACAAGGTCAGGAGTTTGAGACCAGCCTGGCCAACATGGTGAAACTCTGGCTCTACTAAAAATACAAAAATTAGTCGGGTGTGGTGGTACACACCTGTAATCCCAGCTACTTGGGAGGCTGACACAGGAGAATCACTTGAACCTGGGAGGTGCAGGTTGCAGTGAGCCAAGATCATGCCATTGCACTCCATCCTGGGCAACAGAGCGAGACTTCCTCCATCTCAAAAAATAAAAAAAGAAAAGAAATTAATCCACTTTCCCCATAATAAGGTATTCGTTAAACAATTACCGTATAAAGGAATATTATTCAGCCTCAAATTTATGTTTTCAAATACTAGTTATTAGTAATAGTTTACACTAAGTGCTTCCTGTGTGCCAGGAATATACTCTCAATCTTCAAAAAGCTCATTAAGACTATTATTTCTGTTTCTTATATAAATGGGAGAGTTCTCAGAAAACAGACCCAGACAGTGAAGTCAGTACGGTAGTTTCCACTTACCTACAGGTTTACTTTCCACAGTTCCAGTTTCCCCCTGTCAATGCAGTATAAAAATCCTGAATGGAAAATTCCAGAAAAAATTTATAAGTTTTAAATTGTGTCCTGCTCTGAGTAAAGTAATGAAATCCCAAGCTATCCATTCTATCCCATCTGGGAAGTGAATCATACTTTGTCCAGCATGTCCCCACTGTATACAGCACCCGTCTGTTACTATGTATAGAGTTCAGTACCATCCACAGCTTTAGGTATCCACTGCAGGGGTCATGGACTATATACCCCTTGAACAAAGTAAGGGAAGACGATTGTAGCTGTAGATAACTATGGATCAGGAAACCAGCCCCAGGGAGCATAATTGGGCTGTAATAAAGGAAGACTATCTGCTGCCAGAGTGGAGGATACCAATAATGTGCCAAATTGAATTCAAAATTGCTATGGAATAGTGACTGCAATATGCCTCCTATTTCTCACCCTTTTGAATGGAGGTGTCTATTATTATCTAAATAGGGAACTGATGCTAATTTCAAGATCTTCAATTTTGTACCTGGATTATAAATTTCATCTTTAAGACTTGTTTTATGGCACAACATGTTTCCTTCTGATGTCCCATGTGCCTTTGATAAGAATGTGTATCCTGTAGCTGTTGAGTGAAGTCCAGTAAGTTAAGTTAGCTAAGAGCGGGGTTCTAATCTTCAATATATATACATATTTTTAATCTACTTGTCTGAGCAATTACTGAAGGAGGTGGGTTTAAATCCGCAACTGTGATTGCGGATTTGTTCATCTCTCCCGTTAGCTCTAACAATTTTTGTGTTCTGTATTTTGAATCTATTATTATATGTAAATATCTTAAGATTTGTTATATCTTGCTGATAAATTAACCATTTTTATCATTAAGCAATGCTCTTTTTAATTGACAGTAATCTCTCTGATCCAGAATTCTACTTTGTCTTATCTTTATAGCTGCATTGTCTCATCTATCCTTAGTATTTGTATGATACTTATTGCTCTTCCCTTTTATTTCTGCCTTTTTTCTCATATGTAAGGTGTACCTCTTGTAAATAGCATACAATTGACTATTTTTTTTTTTTTTGAGACGGAATTTCACTCTTGTTACCCAGGATGGAGTGCAATGGTGAGATCTTGGCTCATTGCAACCTCTGCCTCCTGGGTTCAAGCAATTCTCCCGCCTCAGCATCCTGAGTAGCTGGGATTACAGGCACGCGCCATCATGCCCAGCTAATTTTTTGTATTTTTAGTAGAGACGGGGTTTCACCTTTTTGACCAGGATGTTCTCGATCTCTTGACCTCGTGATCCACCCGTCTCGGCCTCCCAAAGTGCTGGGATTACAGGCTTGAGCCACCGCGCCCGGCCACAATGGCCTTTTTTTAACCCGCTCTTATTGCAGTGTATGTATACCATCTTCTCATAGTTTTATATTTATTCCTTCTTTTCTTTGTTTTTCAGTTTCTCCTTTCCAGTCTCTTTAAATTTAGAAATATTTTTTTTCTTCTGTATTGACTTTTAAGCTATATCTTTGCATTTTATTTTGTGGCTGCATTTTTATCACAACCTACCATGAATTATTATGATAACACCTCAGCAAATATGCAGGAGACTTTTTAAAGTATAATTACATTTAATTTGTGCTCTTGATATATGATATTTCACTTATAAATTCCATCATAGATTGTTGTTTTTGTTTTAAATAGTTTATGAAATTTTTAAATAGCCTTTTACATTTTAACTTAAACTTATGAATATTATAATTATCTTTTTTCTTTAACAATTTTAAAGGTATAATTTAATTGTCTTCTGGTTCCCATTATTTCTGATGAGAAATCATTTGTCTTCTCCTTTTGTTTTCCCACACTCAACATTCCTCCATGATAAAAAAAAAAAAACTTTAAACAAATCAGGTATAGAAGGAACATTACTCAATACAATAAGACTCTATATTAAAAACTCACAGTTAACATCATACCAAATGGGAAGAAGTTGAAAGCCTTCCTCTAAGAACTGGAACAAGGATGCCCACTTCTACCACTCTTATTTAACAAAGTACTGGAAGTTCTAGACAAAGCAATAAGGCAAGAAAAAGGAACAAAGGACATCCAAATTGAAAAGGAGGAAATCAAATTGTCCATCTTTGCAAATGACATAATCTGTTTTTAAAAAAATTTATTTATTATACTTTAAGTTCTGGGGTACATGTACGGATTGTGCAGGTCTGTTACATAGGTATACAAATGCCATGGCAGTGGTTTGCTACATTCATCACCCCGTCGTCTACATTAGGTATTTCTCCTAATGCTATCCCTCCTCAATTCCCCCACCCCCTGCTATTCTTCCCCTAGCTCCTTACTTCCCATGCCCAAACACCATGGAATACTATGCAGCCATAAAAAAGGATGAGCTCATGTCCTTTGCACAGACTGGATGAAACTGGAGACATAATCTTATGTAAAAAATACCTAAAGACTTCATCAAAATCATCTTAGAACTAATGAACAAATTTTAGTAAAAACTTAAGATGCAAAATACACAAACAAAAACCACTAATAAACTAGCTAGAAAAAAGCAAGAAAGCAATCCCATTTATAATACTAACCCCCCAAAATACCTAAGAATATATTTAACAAAGGAAGTAAAAGATCTCTACAATAAAAAGTACAAAACAGTGATGAAAGAAATTGAAGAGGACACAAAAAAATGGAAAGACATTCCATGTTTATGAATTGAAAAAATTAATATTGTTAAAATGACCATATTACCTAAAGCAATCTACAGATTGGGTACAGTTTCCATCAAAATACCCATGGCATTCTTCACAGAAGTAGAAAAAATATATCAAATTCATGGGTAATCACAAAAAGTCTAAATAGCAAAAGAAATACTGAGCAAAAATCACAAAGCTGAAGGCATCACACTACCTAACTTTAAAATATACTACAAAGATATAGTAACAAAAAACACTATCATACTAGCATATAAATGCAGATATATAGATTAAGGAGCAGAATAGAGAACTCAGAAATAAATCCACATATTTACAACAAACTGATATTTTATACAGTTACCAAGAACACACATTGGAGAAAGGACAGTCTCTAATAAATGGTGCTAAGAAAGCCAGATATCTGTATGCAGAAAAAATGAAACTATATTCATCTCTTACCATATGCAAAAGTCAATTTAAAAGAGATTAATGACAAAAATTTAAGACTTGAAACTATAAAAATGCTATAAGAAAACAGGAGAAACAATTCAGGACATTGGTCTAGGCAAAGATTTTATGTATAAGACTGCAAAATCATAGACAATAAAAACTAGGATAAGCAAATTAGACTATATCAAACTAAAAAGCTTCTGCACAGTTAAGAAAACAATCAACAAAATGAAAAGACAATCTGTAGAATGGGAAAATATATTTGCACACTATGGATGAATAATGTGCGAATATATTTTCCCATTCTACAGATTGTCTAGCATCCATAATATACAAGAAATTTATTTTTTCCCATTCTAGTGTGAATATATTTTCCTATTCTACAGATTATCTAGTATCCATAACACACAAGAGACTAACATCCATAATACACAAGAAATTTAAACAGCTAAACAGCAGAAAGAAAAATCAAAACAAAGATTCAAATTTTAAAATGGGAAAAGAATCTGAAAAGACATTTCTCAAAAGAAAACATAAAAATGGCCAATAGGTATATAAAAAATGCTCAACATCATTATTCATCATATAAATGCAAATCAAAGTCACAGTAAGGTACCATCTCACCCCAGTTAGAATGGCTATCATAAAAACAAAAAATAACAAATGCTAGCAAGGATGCAGAGAAAAGAAAATTCTTATACACTATTCATAAAAATGTAAATTAGTACAGCTATTACTTAAAAGAGTATGGAACTTTCTCTGGAAACTAAAAGTAGAACTGCCATATGATTCAGAAAGCCACTGCTGGTCACTATCCAAAGGAGAAATCAGTATATCAAAGAGATACCTGCACTGCCATGTTTAAGGCAGATCTATTCACAGTAGAGAAGGTATGGAATCAAGATGTATATCCACCTAC